AAAATAACAAAAAAAAAAAAAAAAAAAAACAGAAATAGGAAAATAAGGAAGCCCTAGTACCCTCTCTGTCTTCTTCCTCCCGCTCTCACGTGTTCCATTCTTCTTCACGCCGGCTTCTCCTCCCTTCCGTTCAGCAGCTCAGTGCCGCCGCCTCTCTGCTGCCCGTATTGTGCCGTCGCCGCCTCCCTCGCTCTTACCAGTTTGAACTGATTTTCTACTGGTATTCTCCCAATCCTCATCTATAACTTTATGTATCGTTTAGATTAGAGTACTCTATCACATATGTGGGGTGTAGTTCTGGACCTACAATCTGTTAAAGAGGTAGGGATGTTTTACCATTGAGATGGACTCTTGTAGTATCTATTGTGTAATGGGTTTTAGAGTCCTGAATTTAATATTCTACAATTTCAGGGCAGTGCGCAGCTCCATAAGAACAACAAACTTTGAACCATCTAAAATGGAGTTAAAATAAGAAAGACAGGATGATGAAATATTTCTAGGGGTTGAGCCACATTAAGGTGGTCTCCCCAATAATTTTTCACCCCAGCATTCCGCCCCCTATAAGTCTCATCTGCCTAGCTCTGACTAATCTCAATTCAAGTTAACTGGAAACTAGAATTGCTGAGGAAATTAGGTGAATGATCTAATAGGGCGAACACCTTGGCGATACTTGGAGCAAATCTCGAGGGACAAAATCAGGGGTATTCAAGTATTAGATAGATAACTTCGACCAAGGTCATCCGAAGGTTTCTTATTTTAAGAAGTAAAAAGAGAAAATACTTCTGCTCCAGCTCCCTTATTCTGTTTTTCGTTCCTAATGATATTTTCTCACCTCTCTAACAATCATTTTATCCTCTCTCCAAATTTCTTATATTGGACGATTCTGAATTAGAAATCTATGTCAGTTTAGGCAATTTCTATTTGGGTTATCGTATGTGTGATTGATTTTCTCTTTGTGCTTATCAACCAACGAATTAGTTTAACTTGGTTACCGTCATCTTATGTTGATTACTTTTCTGTTTCTAAACTGGGAGTCTTACATAGTATTTCCCAGAACCCTGGCGTGTATTACAATATATATTTGACATGACATAAACTATATGATGATCAGCTTGTTCAATTTTTAAAGATGCCTCGAAAGCCAACAAAGCGGCGCCAGCTGCTGGGAACTCGTCCTTTAACTTTTTCCTCATTTGCTCGCGCTTCTTGTATGGTGAGGAATCAAATTTCGAAGTCAAAATTAATGAAATCTCACCCTAAACATGAAGGTATTAACCTACTTTGGGTAGATTTTCTTTCCTTGAACTAGTGAGTTCATTTCTTTGTGAGCTGGTATTGATACTGCTGAGTTTTTAGTGAATATCATTATTGCGTTTTGTTCTAATTGTAGGTAATGATTTTATTAGGAATAGTCCTGAGCCCCAGAGTGAATCATCTGACTCTTCTTCCAGCGATGAAGAGTTTGAAGTAAGACTGTTTACCTTATATGGTTAATATTTTCTTATTCATCCATATGTATTATCATATATGAACTTTGTTGATCGTTTCTTGTAGGAAGTTCAAGCAGACTTTGCCTTTTTTGATCCAAAACCCGATGATTTTCATGGGGTGAAGACATTGCTGCAAAACTACCTAGATGACACACAGTGGGATATAAGTGGATTTTCTGATTTAATATTAGGACAAACCACAGTAGGTTCTGTTGTCAAAGTTGAGGGAGATGAAGATAATGGAGTATTCTCTTTTATCACAGCCCTTAACTTGGCAAGATATAAGGTAAGCACTATAGAAGTTCGATCCAATACTGAATTCTCTCTCTAACTGCCTGTAGTCTTCTAGTAGTTGGTTCGTGCAGCACGGCAATCTGAACCACTGTCAAAGTAATTATGTGCTTAGTCGTAGTGTCGGATGAAATTAGGTTTGAGATAGGAAACTTGAGCAATTTGCAGCTTCATGACAGAGCTGCCATCCTCATAATTCTCATGTCTATTTTAACGTGAATACATAGAAAGTTATTCAACACGAACAACCTATTCAGTTGCAGTGTCAAAGCTTATGACTCTGTGCCAGTTTTGTAACCTTTTAATCGTCTTTATCAGTAAACTATTGTGGAAATTTTGTCTCACTAGGACAGTAGATCTATAATGGAGCTGAAGGAGTATCTCCTCAAAGTTTGCCCGGACAGGGATATAAAGAATGACTTGAAACAACTTCTGGAGGAGCAAGCATTTAGTGTTGGTCTCATAGTCTCTCAGAGAATCGTGAATCTTCCTCCTCAACTTCTGCCACCACTTTATGATGCCCTTTTTGATGAAATATCATGGGCTATTGAGGACGAGGTTAGATATAATAACATTTGTACATTCTTCTTCTCAAGTATCCATGAGAATGTATTGAAAATATTTATTGTCTGTTTTTCTTAAGCCAACCAAAGAGCTCCAGGATTCCTTCCGCTTCAAATTGCATATTTTAGTCAGTAAAATTTACAAGGTATGCCTGTGTAGTACGTTTAGTACCTTTTCTACTTTTCAACAATTATTTCTTTCATATGACCGTTGTGTGTTGTACAAACTACAGCTCAAGAATACAAATCATAAGAAAAAAGCGACTCCTGAAACAGAAGAGTCAATTATATATGTAAAGGCAGAAGATGAAATATTTCACAAGGTATTTTGATGCAGCTTCCCTGTACCATTGTTGCTTCTTAGATTCTCTTCAAACCGTCTTAACAATGTTTTTCTTATCCAAAAACTTATTTCAGTTGTGTTTATGGTCCTTCTGCTTTCCCTTGCACGTCCAGCCACAAACAACTAACGAGGCAAGTATTAAACTTACACGAATAATCCGAATAGTGTTCATAGGTGTAAGACGTTGTTGCATGCTTGCATTGTGCCCAATTACAAAGATGGGCAGTTGATGTCTTTTCGGATTTGTTTTTAGCGTTTCCCTGTTATGCTTCAATGATTTATGGTATTGAAGGTACTGTAAAATGTATTTATAATTTCGTTTTTCATGTGTTGTTTTTTCTTGCAGCTAAAAGGTTACCAGTTAATGGGAATAGTAATGGCTGTTGAAGCAAGCAAAGTTCCCACATTTCGAGATGAGTTAAAATCTTTAATTAGTGAATCCTAGCTGCAATCTTAGTTGCAGAAAGCTGAAAAGAAAGACTGTTTAAAATGTTTGTAATTTTTAGCTTGAGGAAGTGAAGTCTCCAATTTTGGTGTGAATTTGAGCGGGGTGCTAATTAGTTGAGCTGTTTCTTTGAGGACTTTTATGTATTGCATGAACAATGAAAAATGTTTCTGAATTAAACTTTCTTGGCCAAGGGACCTCTGTAAATGTGCAAAAAAAAAAAAAAAAAAAAAATCCCTGTGTATGATAACTTGACGGGAGGGGACACCAAAGGCCTCTACCCAATATAATGCTGTGTTTTTTAAGGTTAGTTTGGACTTTTTATCTTTATTATTTAGGTTCGATTTGCAAACATGAAAAAGTAGCTCATTCGACTTGTTGATCGACATATGTGCCACAAGTAGTTAAATTATGTGCAGGGGTTTTTTTTGTCCGTGAAATTAGCTCAATTATTTACAATATAGTTCATTTAGAAAATATTCCTTAAGAAGTTAATTTGAACATTTGCGCGCCAAGTTCAAGTGACTTCGAGTATAGCTGCTGAAATCTTGCACTATCGTTATGGAATATATGTTGAAAGAAGATTGCTTGCCCCACGCTTGGGGAAAACTTTACACTAAATTATTTTGCACAAAATGGTTCATTGTAGATCTTGTCATAAAAGAAATAAAGGAACCGGCCTCCATAAGAATGATTTAGAGTCAATTCGATGCAAAAGTATTAGTAAAAGCATAAGCATATAGTGAAGTCGATACCAATAGCAGTAGAGAAAGACCCACGTTAATAGAAAAAAAAAGCATATCCGATGATAACTAGAGCAGTACGGATACCACCAAAAACATCCCTGAGTTCTCTATCCATAATACCTTTACACCCAACCTAATTTGAACAATTAGCCACAAAGAAGGAAATTGTTTTTTTTTTTTTGTAAAATTATTAAATGGGCAAATACTTTTATTTATTATTATTTTTGAGTTAAAAATAGGCGATAAATCTATTAAATATCATCTCCAAAACCAGACAACACTCATACTCCTCGCTGCATTTCATTTCTAGTAAATTCCATTGGTTTTTCTCTCCTTCTTCTTCTTCTGCTTCTTCTTCTCATGATTTTTTGCCCAAAATGTTGGCCACAATTTCGATACCCTCCAATTTCCACTTCCCCGTTTCCTTCCGACAACACGCACTCTCGAGTACTCGCATGAAGATTTTTGCAGTTGGAGCTACGGGAACTCCTAAACCCAGAGACCCATCGCTCCTTCTCTTTCGTCTTCGTTTCAGCACAGAATTTTCCTGTAAACGCGTTGTACACAGGAGGGTTAGCAGCGATGGTGGTGGTGCTCTTGATTCTACTCAGCAGCAGTCTGCAGCTTCTGTAGGTTTCTGCAGTTTTTCTCATCTGCGACTGTCGCCTGTTTTTTTTACAATTTGAGTTTTCCTTCTTTTTCAGTTTGAACTGGATTGATTCATTTCGAGTTAAATAACAAGTTTAGTACTCAACTTGATTATGCATATTTAATCCCAAAAATTAAGTGTCACTATGAACTTTGGTTCTAGTTATACATCGCTTTTCACGTAGTGTTTGATTAGACTGTTAAGGTACAATTTTCATTTTATCTATTATCTATTAGACCTACTTTTTTGATGCCACCATTGACATGTTATAGTAAATCATCACTTATACGTAACAATGTTAATAGCAGAAAGTTCATAAACCAAAATTGAAAGTTCAAGAACATCATTGGAACTCTCTAAAATTCAGGAATTAAATAGCTGCAATCAGTGAGCATTTTGTAACTAAACCTCATGATTATTATTTTTTGCCAGGGCATAGTTTTATGTTTAGTTTCTTTGTTTGTATTTTGGATTTGTAATCCACTCTAAAAAGTGCTTGCAATTCTGTTTATTTATGGCTTAACTTATCTTTTTCTTTGAAATGGTCATTGTACTGTCTGAATTAGTTGTGATTGTATGCAAGGTGCCGTATGGAATTTAGGTTGAATGTTTATTATCAGCATGAAAGCCATAGATTGTTGACCAAAATACAGTGTTAAATTGGAAAAATCTGGACTGATTTTTCCTACATTCTCATGTTTCGCTTATTTTTCAAGGTTCTTAGTGTTTGCTAATTTATGTTAATGGAGATATGCTGTAATTGTACTCTCAGGACATCAGAGACGTACCAAATGATTCTTCTAGTGTTGGACACAGTTATGTGGCATTGTTTGTCCGGATGCTCGGCTTAGATCATGATCCTCTAGATAGAGAACAAGCAATCGTAGCTTTATGGAAATATTCCCTTGGAGGGAAGAAGCACATAGATGCCATCATGCAGTTTCCTGGATGCATAAATCTAACAGTAAATCTTCTTAGGTCAGAGTCAGCCTCTACGTGTGAAGCAGCTGCTGGCCTTCTACGGTCAATTTCTATGGTGAACTTATTCCGAGATTCAGTTGCCGAAAGTGGAGCAATTGAAGAGATAACTGCCTTGCTTAGTCGACCGTCCTTGACTCCTGAGGTGTGTTTTTCTTTTATGTTTGTCTTTTGGCTGCCTGTAATTGAGCCATATCTGAATGCAGCTGTAGCTGTGCAGGTGAAGGAGCAAAGCATATGTGTTCTGTGGAATTTGTCGGTAGACGAAAAACTCAGAAAAAAGATTGCAAATACTGATATTCTGCCATTACTTATTAAGAATCTTGATGATGAGGACATGAAGGTGAAGGAAGCAGCTGGAGGGGTTATAGCAAATCTTACTTTGAGCCCATGTAACCATGGGGTTATTGTTGAATCAGGCTTAATTCCTAAACTGGTAGAACTTTTTTTCTTTTTCTCTGTGCATTCTTCAGCTTGTATAAAATGGCTGTTTGGAAGTAAACATAGTATTGACTTTTGCTCTGTGGCCTCAGGCGTATCAGTTAAAAGCTGAGGCAGACAGCTCAAAAACTATGAGAAAGGAAGCAAGAAATGCGTTGCTAGAACTTTGTAAAGATGAATATTATAGAATTCTTGTGATAGAGGAAGGACTGGTTCCAGTACCAGTACTTGGTGCTGCTGCCTATAAATCCTTCAAACCAGGCCTGCATTCATGGCCAAGTTTGCCTGATGGCACAGAAATTGAACGATCTTCCAAAAAACCTTCAAGATTTGGTGCCTCTGAATTACTCCTCGGGTTGAATGTTGATAATAATACAAACATAGATGAAGGCAAGATTAATGCAATTGTTGGACGGTCACAGCAACAATTTCTGGCTAGAATAGGTGCCATAGAACTTGAAGATTTAAAGGACACTCAATCTGAATCATCTACCAGTAATCATCTTACACTCTTACCTTGGAGAGACGGTGTGGCTCGACTAGTCTTGGTCCTCGAACTAGAGGATGATAATGCCAAAGTGAGAACTGCAGAGTTAATTGCTGATGCATCTATCAATGAACACATGCGTGTTTCATTCAAGGAAGCTGGAGCAATCAAACATTTAGTAAAGCTTTTGGATAGTATGAATAATTCAGTCAAATGGGCTTCAATTCAAGCCCTGGAGAGACTGTCAATCAGGTAAAACTTGAGTTATGTCATTCCAAGTTCTCACCACTTTCAATGGTATATAGATTGTTTATCATAAAGTGATTGTTTGTTTTCTATGGTATCATTTTGCTGGTGTTGGCATAGCAATGTTGTTTGCCAGACAATTGAAAATGAAGGTGCACTTAGTCCTTTGCTCAGTATTTTAAAGCTCTCAAGTATTCCTGAAAATGTGATGGAGAAGGTAATTTTGGCTACTTTAGATTTGTGAAGAATGAAGTAGTTTGGTTTGTTACTGACTCGAGTCGTCGTCCCTGTCTTGTAGACCCTCGATATACTTTCTCGGATCTTGGACCCTAGTAAAGAAATGAAATCAAAGGTTTTGTTTTGTGTTTCATGTATCAAGTTGTAAGACCTTGAATCTTGGAATTGACTTACTAAGAGTGTTCATACATTCCAGTTTTACGATGGACCACTGAACGGTTCTCAAGGGGGACAACATTCAGAAAGGAATTCTGAAGCTTCTACCTGGTTGAGTGTGAATCTTGCTGGTCAATCATTATTTTTGATCAGTTAGATACTAATATGAATCTTCTTTTAATAACTTTTTAGGAAAGATGTGTTGGATGCTGTTGTTGTTTCTAGCCTAGTTGAGATTTTGAAGACCTCATCCCCAAACTTGAAACGCAAAGCTGCTTCTATCCTAGAATTTATTTCTATTATGGACCCAAGCATGGATATAATCGATCCCATGGAGATAGAATCTGGATTGTCCGCTGTTTTCCAGCTTGGAGTTTCAATAGGTACGCACACCATTTTACTAAACATCAATTGACACCGTCTTTGAAAATTGTACTAGTGCATGCATAATGCGGTTGTGATACAAATGCTATTAGGATAGTTCTAGGAATATTATTTGGGCATTAAGTTTATATTAGTAATTAGTCAGAAAAGTTATTGGAGATTTGTTATAAATAGAGTGAGTGGGAAAGGATGGGGATAGACAATTGTTCAGAGTTTAGGTTTGAGTGAGATTACTCAAGAAGGGAGGTTTTAAGTACCTACAATATTGGGGTTATATTGTAGTTCTTGTATCTCTTTATATTTCAGTACTGTTCTAGTTCTACATGGGCTCCATCAGATTAACATCTGTTCTGTTTATTTAGTTATTTGTACCATTATTAAACATCAAACCCATCGTTTCAATGATCGTCAAATAATGTCACTGATAGCTTAAAAGCGAAGAATATTTGAATGAAAACATTAGTAATGTATTGGCATCATTCTTTTATCCATAGATTTATTTTTGCAATAAAAGTTGGAAATAACCATGCTTAACATTGTGGTTAAAACGCAAGTGGAAAATCCTTATGCCATTGTCTTTGGAGGTTATTGATGCGGTGCTTTGACACCTACCCTTGCCTATAGTTACTCATAGATCAAGCTGCAAACCCGTCATTTATTGAAACTGGTGGTTGAAATAGTGCTTCTTGCCATTTTTCTGTACTTTTTCTTGTGTGTTATGCCTTCCATAAGTAATGTCCTAGAGGATGAGTTTTGTCCTTTCGTGTTTGTACTTCCATATGTTCTTGCACTAAGTAATTATGAAAGACATATACTATCAGATCCCACATCCTTTGGAGAGGGGAACGAAATATTCCTTATAAGGGTGTGGAAACCACTCTCTAGTAGACGCGTTTAAAAACCTTGAGAGGAAGCACAGAAGGGAAAGCCCGAAGAGGACAATATGTGCTAGCAATTGGGTTTGGGCTGTTATAAGGAGAGGGGAATGAAACATTTCTTATAAGGGTGTGGCAACCACTCCCTAGTAGAGCGTTTTAAAACCTTAAGGGGAAAGCCCATAAGGGAAAGCCTGAAGAGGACAATATTTAATAGCAGTAGGCTTGAGCTGTTACAAATGGTATCAGAGGCAAGTTACCAGAAGGTGCAAGAAACTGACCGGAGTAGGACTAGACCCTCTCCCTAGTAGACGCATTTTAAAAACCTTGAGGGGAAGCCTGAAAGAGAAAGGCCAAAGAAGACAATATCTGCTAGTGGTGAGCTTGAGCCGCTACAAATGGTATTAGTGTCAAAACACCGGGCGATGTGCTAGCGAGGATGTTGGGCCTCAAGGGGGGTGGATTGTGAGATCTCATATTGGTTGGAGAGGGGAACAAAACATTTCTTATAAAGGTGTGGAAATCTCTCCCTAGTAGACGCGTTTTATAACCTTGAGCGGAAGCCTAAAAGGGAAAGCCCAAATAAGACAATATTTGCCCGCGGCTCACCGCTTGGGTATTGGGAAAGGAATATTGAAAGAGATAGCAAAAGATAAAATAGATCAAAGCGGCCAACTCCTCGTTCCAAACTACTGTGACAAATTAGCACTTAGTACCAAACACTGATAAGAAAATATGACAAGATTAAATATACCATAATCTGTCCATTTAAATTTTTTAGTTGAGTGGAGTAGATGTCCTAAGTTCAGAAGTCTATTATTTTCTTTCCAATCAACGTCGGTACCTATATATTTGGTCTTTTGCTAGTTTGGGACCTTACAAGTGAGAGATAATGGTAAAAATGTCTCAAAAAGATCAAATATTTCCATGATATCTTCATTTGCATTTGTCTATAACATCTGCCTTGTTAAAGCAGATGAGATTGAAACTGTAGCCATCTCATTTTTTTGGAATTTGTACGCCAGATTGAGGTACAGCTGCTTCAGAAGTTATAGATTTTTGCACTCTTAGTGTGGAACTTGATGTGTATCGTTTCCGTATAGCTTCTGAAACTTCAATACTGATTTGAAATGATTAACTTGATAGTTCCTGAGCATTAGATTTGAAGGCTGCTTCTCTATGTGAATTTTGGTTGCACAGATGCTGATGCTGAAGATTGGCCGCCTGAAAGACATGCCCTTGAAGTTGAAGAAGCTGGTCTTGCAATATCAGCTGCCTCCCGACTACTAACAAAGCTTATGGATTCTGAAAAGTTCTGCAACAAAATAAACGCCGCCCGTTTCACCGAGTCGCTTCGTCGAATCCTGAAGTTGGACATTCCCATTCAGCACAAAGATTGGATTGCTGCTTGCCTAATCAAAGTCAGCTCCGTTGCAGCTCCGAGCATAGATTCTGGAGATCCCATCGACATGGAGGTCGCTCTGTACGAAACTATACCGAGACTTATTCAGCAGATGAAAAGCTCGTTGTCCATGGAAGTTCAGGAATCCGCTGTTGTGGAGCTGAACAGAATAGTCTCGGAGGGAATGGTTGATGCGACCCGAGCTGTTGCTTCTAAAGGCGGCATCTTTCCATTGGTGAAGCTGATCGATGAAGGAAGTGAGAGGGCAAGGGAAGCAGCCTTAGCCGTATTGTATAATCTGAGTATGGATACTGAAAATCATCCAGCAATTTTAGCTGCAGGAGCTGTGCCAGCGTTGAGGAGAATTGTTCTGTCGCAACGAGTACAGTGGCAACAAGCTCTTTATTTGTTGAGGACATTGCCTACATGACAAAAGGTATGAGAAAAGGACTATATAAAATTATGCTGCAAATGCATTTTCTTTTTGTAGTTTTTGTATCAATATCAGTGACTTTATGATATCAAAATTACCACAAGATAATTGAAATCAAGTTTAATTATACTTGAATTCAAGTTAAACAATCTAGCTTCCAGATATTTCTAATGGAAATTTATTTAGGAAGGTTATAATTCTTGAGTTTATTTGCAATTCTACGTGTTTAGGATGCATGTTTAGAATCATTCCAGCTTAATTTGATTAATTTTATTAAGCTTAATTTTGTTTATGAAGTGCTTCGAATATGTGATTCGAATCTTAAACCAGTGTTATTGTTTTGAGATATTTGATTAAAAAGATAATCTAAATTTTACATTCTTTTGGAGTAATTTCTTATCGTTTGCAACTTATACTCTCAGTATAATTAGGGTTTTGTCTCTTCTTTTTTGTTGGAGATGTAAAAAAAGGGTTTGTTTATTATTTGGCAACATTAACAAAACCACCCTTTTTTCTCTCCGCTCTTTGCAACCTTATATGGAAATTCAACCATATTGTTCAATAATATTATGTGGAGGGAATTGAGTTTAAAAATGAGCAATTGATTTCAATGAAATGGTATGGTCTTTTCAAACAAAAATGATTTTTATTGGCTGCAAAAAACATCTAAAGTTTGAAAAGAGGTGTGTGGAAAAGCAGAAGTGAAAGCGAAGAGAGTGGAAAAGTAGAAAGAAATAAAGGTAAAAGGGGACGAAAGAGAGGACCAAAGAAAGGACACTGTCCCCTCTCTCTCTTTCAAATGCCCTCCAATTCCACTCCACCAACCGACCCAAATTATAAGGGTATACATTCAACCAGACAATCTAATACTCGAGATTGATCTAACTCGGATTAAGATAAGCTTAATGGACATATTTAGTTGTACCACGATGTGACAATAACTTATGATTAAAGAAGGAAGCGATAATCTATAAATAACTTAAACAAACGACTATAATTTATATACTATGAAAGAAATTAGTTTAAAACATATGTGATTTCATAGGTATGATATGAACTATGCCAGAATTTTTTAGAGCCCAAAAAAAGCCTATGGTAAGTGATGAATGGTTCTAAGTGGTTTTCTATTTCCTCACACACCTACTTTGAGTTTGAGGAGGTGGTCCACTCATTTCTGGTGTCACGGGTCTATTGGGCGACAATTTTTATCTCTAGAATGAATAACTTTTTTGTTCTTAGAATTAGGTAGCTTGCTTTCCTAATATAGTGAATGATCGACGACCTTGGCTGAGGCGCTACCTCATAAAGTTCTAAAGAGACAGTATGTTGTCTTATAGCTTGGAGAGCTACCTTAGTCGTCCTTGGATTTCGTAGAGGTTACTAGGTTCTTAGGTGCATTTAGGTGGTTTAAATCTCAATTCTCGTTTCTAGGACGTTTAAAACTAACTCCTCGAGCTAATCTATTCTTTGTATGCACATTGATCTATACCTCTATTCAACACTCACGATCCTCGAGTGCTTGGTCTACTGGAAATGTATTGATTTGAACCAACTCGAAATTGATCTATCTCTAGCACCCTAGTCTTAACTTGGTTCTCTTGCGCTTGCTTGTTATAGAAATTATCTTATCTATCACTTAAAACATGGTATTCATAATGCATACATTCGTGCAAGCTTATTAGAGAGATACCTTACCCAACGGAAAACATTTAAAACAACATTCAACTGAATATCTCGTCCTAGGGGTATTTTGGTAAATTCTTACATCATACATAGCTTACTCATCCGAATATCCTTACTCAAGATCTAATCATACATATTCCCTTCCTAACTTTGTAAAGCATAAAACCTTGCATGCATCTCAAAATTTTATCATCGGGCATATCAGTAATTTTTCATAACCAACATAAAAGCACATTGTAACGCCCATAATTTTCTTAACCTAATTAGTGACTTCTTCCCTATATGTATAAATCTTTAAGCAGAAATTCATCATAAATAGTCTTGGAAACAACACTAGTCTTATATAAAGGATTAAAATCCGAACTAAACATAACTCCGAAACGAAAACATTCAATAATTGAATCTTGAAAATTTTAGATAAATAAATATTCAACTATTAACTTAAAACTAAAAAAAAAAAAAACATAAACAGCTAGCTATGCCATCTCATTAACTTCCATTGTAATTCAGCTCCATCGTCAACTGTACATTGGTGCCTTACCTTTACTTGAAAAATGTAGATAACACGTGGCTGGAGTATTTTATGAAATACTCAATAAGTCACCCCACTCTTGGGGTTAGATATGCAAACACATGCAACATATGAGTGAGACCTATCTTTCGTAAACTTTACATGGCTTTGGGCTCTTTTCTTTTCTAGGCAGGGTTGGATGTGTGGTACTTCTCCACACACGGCCCGTGTATGCGCACATTGGCCCACCAGACAGGCTCGTATACATACCCTTGGGCCTGGCTTGGTCGGACACAATGTGTTACATGTTCACCGGACGCCATAAAATAAGAAAGGCACGCATGATATCATGGCGAACATAAATATCGATTTCATACTTTTATGAAATAAAGAGAAGTATCCTGATGCAAATGACATATAAATATGCATGAGGTCCCATAACTTACACTACATAGCATATTATGCAATATGAAAATACGTTCAAATTTCATAAGCATTTCATAACATAACTCAATTATGTCACGTGTACACATGACAACGTTCATCACTTTCATGACATATAATACTATCATATCAACCACAACTTTTCATAACATCACTGGTCAACATAATCCATGCATCACATAGTCATATCACTAAAAATATGGTGCATGCAGGGGCTACAGGGCACGCACCATCATACAACACATAATAAGCTAACTTCAACAGTAAAGTCACTTACCTCGATGGCCTTGGCTGAAGGTACTCACAACAAACTAATTCTAATGGCTACCTACTTCCTATAAGAACCACAAATATATTTAGAAACTTTTCATAACGTATGTAAGTTCAACCTCATAGTAATTCTCGTAAGTCCCTAACATAACCTGTTTTTGACTATTAAGAGGCATATTGACCTCAGAAGAAGAAGAAGAAAAAAAAAAACCCTAGAAATTGATATATTGTGAGTATACCAAGCCGAGTTGTTGAGTCGCCGTCGAGTCGAGTCGTCAAGCTGAGGAATCCGATGGAGCCGAGCCGCAATTGTGTATGCGTGCAAAGCTGAAATTGGAGTTGCGATGTTGGGCCGAACGTGCATGCAGCCTGTGTTCTCACCTGAGATGTGGGCTAGAGCGGGGATTGAAACAACAAGTTGTTGGGTCGCGGGTATACAAGGAGACCCGACCCGAATCCAACAACTTCTCTTCCTTACTCGAAAAACAACGAAACCCTAACTCGAAAAACAACTTCCTCAACGCCGATTTTCGATGACCACACAACGATCCCGATGTCGATACCTTACTTCCACTCGATTCTTCTTTCGAAATAGCAACTCTAACGTTCCGATAAACCCCCAAAATACCTAGTGAACCAACCCACTCGCTTCCAAGGGGTGTGAAAAGTTGTGCTTCGAGATATAAAAAGGTCTAAGAACATTTCCCATCAAGACAATAATTGTCTCACCGAAATCACGCATTTTCCAGCGAGAATATATATGCTGCATTTAATAAAAGATTATATCATTTTTTGAAATAAAAATAAAATCTTAATGGTTACCCACATTCTCATTCAAATAACCCTTCTAAATTCCTAAACTTGCATATTCTAACCATCTAAGGTAAGAAATTCTTTCATGCTAGCACATCTTAGTGATCCCTAAAAATATTACTTGATAAAAATTTGAATGGTTACTTATATGGATAACGCATGCCTTCTCGAGATAGCATTTTTGCGTGTTAGGAATTCCAAAAATTCTAAAATTTATCCAGTAGGTTCTAATTCAAGACATAATATGATCAGGATTAAAATCGATATAAAAAACTAACCAACGAAAGTCGAACATGTAAGAAAAAAGGGGACTCATGTGCCTCCCTCGTGTGCAGAGGGACTACCATGCGTGCAGGCACATACGAGTACAAGCTCGCCTAAGGGAAAGAGTACTTGCGTTCTCTATTTGCACATGACGCATTTTCATTAGCGCAGTAGGAACCAAGTCGAGTCGCCTAGAGAAGGTTACGGTTTGGAGATGGCACGAGACATGGATTACATTTTGGGTTGCAAGTCAAGTGCCCTGCCAAGAGCTGATGTGCGTCTCCTCTCCCTGCCCTACACGTGCCCTCCTTTCGTCGCTTGCACAAAATTATATTTTATTTTATTTCATTTTACATTTGCTTTTGTCTTTTAGTCATTACCTAAAATTTAAAGTGGTGGTAGACTAACAGGTCATCATGTACGTATACGAAAGTTCATCTATGACTTTATTCAAGAAGCTAGCAATTAACATATTCCCTAAGTTGAACATATTCAACTTGAATATGATTCGTACTACACTTTGATTGATGGGCTATTTTCATAATAACATTTTATCTACTCCTTGTTGTGTATATGGGCATTTGAATTCCTGATCTCAGAGAGACAAATTATATGTTAATATGTAACGACTCTAAAATTCTACATATTGAGAGTCATTACTAACGTCTTATGCTCATCTCTTATGCAGAAATATAACTCTTAAAATAAAACATCACCTATAATATAAACGCTGAAAACATTTAAAATATCCTCTTCTCTGCAAAAACACAGTCATGGTTACGTATTTAAATATGAAGTACTGAAATTGAGAGAGAATAAAAATAAATAGTAAATAATTTAGAACGATAGAGTACAAAAAAAAACCTATTCTAACCTAAGACTAGAAATTTAAATATGAGTCTACCCTATGCACGTGCCACAGTCTCTACTCGTGATATCACCATTGTGCGCCTTACCTTTACCTGAAAAATGATGTGGTACACGACCTGAGTATTTAGAAGAATACTATAAGTGACCCCCCTTAGGAGGGCATGCAAATGCAAACACATGCAATCATACTCTTGGACCTATCTCTATCTCATCTAGGGGTGGCCTTCACTCTCAGACTATTATGGATGTGTAGTACTTCTCTACACACAACCCAC